ATATATTTGTGGATTCTGTAAACACTAAGCTTTTAGTACTGTTTTGTTAATTTTTTCCTCCATAGCTGGCTATGTTAAAGCTGTCATGATTGGAGTGTCTATTGGTGTTGGATCTCTTGCTTTTGGTTGTTGCATTGTAATTGCTTTGCACTTCTTAAAGGCCCATGCAAGGAAGAGAGCAGTCTAGTGAGTGGACATTATTATAATAATTATTCTTCTTCTCTTATCTTAAAGCCGTCATGTTCGTCTTACTAATCCTGTCACTGATGATCCAGTTTAGTGAAGGCAGTTTAAACTCTTTTCCTTTTGATAATCATATTACACATCATTATTATTTTAATACTTTTTTATATTTTTGATCTGTAATCCTTTTTGCCTGTAAATTAGCTCAAGGTGTTAACAATGCGTGGGCGTTAGCTATACAAATGAGCTCAAAATAACTGCGTGGGTGGATGTGACCACTGGGTTTTACCATAAATTTTATAACTACTATAAGAATAATAAAATTTATGCTTGTTTTACATATATACAGACACATGAGGATAGACTAGTTTTGGAAGGCTAAGGATAGACATGAAGGCCTGTGCTCTTCGAGGTGCTCTTTTTCTTCTATTTGCAAAATTTTGCAGCCACCACTGTAGGCTCAATCCTGTTATGTAAGCAGCACTTTATTGTCTTGCTAGGTGATCCATTCTCTCTTTCTAGATGATGATTCTTCTTGTACTGGGACTGCCTGCAGCTCTGATGGAGATACCATTACCCTTTTCCATTGAACTAGTTATTGTCAATCCTGATAATAAGATGTACCTTTACACCATAGATACTGGTATTACCAGTGTTACATTTCTTAACCCATTGGTAAGTCAATGAGCATCATCATTATTATGTCTTGGGAAATGGAAATTTCTCGGAAAGTATTTTGCAGAGTGTACTTTGTAACTATTATAATAGACTCAGAGGAATAAAACGATTCAATTCAAAGACCACAGCTATCCTCTGTCAGCAGGAGTATATTGTAACAACAGTTACTTAACTGCTAGCAAGAATGATCTGAAGCCATTTGTGAAGCCTTTTCATAGCACTCCAATACCAATATACATCAACTATGAAGACGGATCCTCTGTAGAGAAGGATGGTCAAAGCATTTGTGGATTTGTAAATAGATTTTTGGTTAGTTTTTGCTATTTATTGCTTAATTTTAGTTCTTGTTGATGCTGTCATAATTGGAGTGTCTGTTGTTGTTGGAGTTATTGGTTTATGTTGCTGCCTTGGAATTGCTTTGCAATTCTGGGCATATATAAGGAAGAAAGCAAAGCAGTGAGTGAATGGATATTGTAATAATAATAATTAACGTTATTCTTCTCTTATTATTAAAGCCATCATGTTTGTTTTACTAATGCTGTCACTGATAACCCTGTCCTAATAAAGGCAGTTTAAACTCTCTTTAATAATAACTTTATTTTATTTTGTTGTATTTGGTTGGTAATTAGTCTCGCATAGCCAGACTACACCTGCCATCCTTTTTTTACCTTTTTAAAAATTATTAATTTTGGCAGCTTAAACTCTCTTTCTTTGATTAACACACAATAATGATACATTATTTAATGTATTTGATCTTTCATTTGGCTGCAAATTATGCTCAAGGTGTATTTCAACTTTTGTTCGTCAACATAATTGCATGGGTGTTGACAAAATAATTGCTATGGGCGTTGGCTCAAAATTTGCGTGGGTGTTTGTTCTGTTAATGTTATGATAGACATGAAAGCTTTCACTTTTTTCGTTCTGTCTGCTCTCTTTTTAGCTGCCACTGCTAGTACTATTGGAGGTAAGTATCATTTTTCCAGGTGGCTGACCTATTTTTTTGCTAGATGATGATTCCTCTTGTACTGGGACTGCCTGCACTGCTGATGGAGATACACTTACCTTTTCCATTGAAGTTATAGTTGGGGATGCTGACCATTTGCACTTGCCACAGTTTAACACCATTCCTATCACTAGCGTTACATTTTATAACCCATTGGTAAGAGCATTCTAATACAGGCCCAGGAAAGGAGGGAAGAGCAGGGTAAAAGTTTCCACTATGATCATGCAGGCACTGGCCAAAAATCAGAATAGGGCCTAAAAACTTCATCCCAGAGCATCTTTTTAAAATTATATGCAAAACAGTGCAGTTTTATGTTCACATATTGACTCTTTCCCAGGCCCCACTACTCTTTCAGTGGCCCTGTAGATGCATGTACCAGGGAGTTGTAGCACGGTGGTTGAGCCTGCACATGCATGATGAGTATAATGTTTACTTCAGCTGTTATCAAAATAATTCTTGATAATAACATTAATAGTTTGTAATAAACAATAAATGATTACTGTAAAATCTTTTGTTTAGTCTCAGAGGAATGAAACTATTTATTTTAAAGGCCACAGCTACCCTCTGTCAACAGGGACGTACTGTAACAACAGCTACTTTACTGCTAGCAAGAATGATATGAAGCCATTTGTGAAACCTTTTCATAGCACTCCAATACCAATATACGTCAACTATCGTGATAGATCCTCTATAGAAAAGGGTACTCAAGATATCTGTGGATTTGGTAAACGGCTCAGTTTTAGAAGTTTTTGTTAATTTTTTGCTATTATTTAGTTGATGTTGAAAGCATCACAATTGGAGTGTCTGTTGTTGTTGGAATTGTTGGTTTAGGTTGCTGCCTTGGAATTGCTTTGCAGTTTCTAAAGGCATATGCAAGGAAGAGAGCAATGCAGTGAGTGGATGGATATTGTTACAATAATGATTGTTACCATTTTATCTCTAATTTTAAAGACGTGGTCATGTTCGTTTTACTAATGCTATCAATGATGATCCTGTTTTAGTGAAGGCAATTTAAACTCTTTTCCTGTGATAAGAACACAGTGATACTTATATTCAATATGTTTTATCTCTTTTTATTTTTGCTGCAAATTTTGTGTTAATCTTGCTCAAGGTGTCAACAATGCGTGGGCGTTAGCTCAAATGAGTGGGTGTTTACTCAGTCCGCATAACTCCGTAAACGTAGTTTCAGCCCCACCCACTCGAAGCAACAAAAATGAAGAAGACACTGATGCTATTTCTTTTTCTTTTATTTTATTTTACAAGGACAGGGATTAAAGGTCAGTTATCATTATTAAATTACAGTATATATATATTATCATTTATTAGGAGATATTGTAATAGCGTCTGGAGAAAGAGGAGTGCCAGTAGGAGATGATTTCATCTTTAACTGCTCCACTTCTAATGAAGAGGAGCCATTATACCTCACTATCAATGGAGAATTTGAAGGAGACTATTTTAATAAAACATCTTCATCCACCAAAGGGCCAGGACACGTTACATATACTTACTCTAATGCAGGACTCTCTGATAATGGACTGATATTCCAATGTATTACTAATGATAATGAAGCCTCTGACGTATTACCATTGATAATATACAGTAGGTAGTACATAAATATAGTAGTAATCTAGAGTTTAATGTACTGTTTATAGCTGGTAGTTATGGAGAGGGCAATATCACATTGATTACGATCGATATGAAAATATTATTGTTTTAAGTGTGTGCAAATCTAATATGGCTATCAAAATAATAGTAAAAATAGTTAAAATTCCTCTTTCTCTCCAAATTACCTGCTACATACTGAAAGTGTATAGCATTAGGGGATTATTTTTGATATTAATTTATTGTTATCATTGTCATTTGTTATTCAATCATTCCTATACAGTACCTCCAGTTTATACACTGGGCTCTCAATCCCTGGTATTGTTCAACAGTACCAACAGCTGCATCAGTATAAACATTCAAGCTATACCTTATCCTAATAATTATTCATGGACCCATGGTAACGTCTCGTTAACAATGACCACACCCTCGACTGGTATAAGTACGACCCCACACAGTATCTGTTTCAATCCAGTACTAACTAGTTATAATGGTTCCTATACACTGAGCGCTAGTAATCCAGCTGGAAATGGAAACATAACATTCAACTTAGATATATATTGTAAGTTTATTATTATTGTTATTGTTATTATTGTTTATATTATTTTATTAGATGGTCCATCTTTCTCTGATGGTGATAAGTTAATGGAGTTTCCTGTTCATTCTAACGTTACTATTGAGTGCCAAGTGATATTGGCTAATCCCAATTATTATAATCTCTCACTGAACTATTCAACAGCAGCTGGTCCTAACAGTAATAATACAATAGTTACTATTGATGAGTCGTCTGGTCAGTTTATTGTAACAAATGCTACTATTGATAATGGGGGGAACTACACTTGTACAGCAGCTGGGGAGTACAATACCACTAGTGTAACATATTGGATTTTTATTGGAGGTATGACAGTAGTATAGTAATGGGAGTTTTTGGGGCCAAATGTTTTTAATGGTTGAATGGTGACTGAAGCCAAGCTTTGACTAGCCATAACTTAGAAATTTGAGCTCGGAATCAGCTCAGACTTTCTACACAGCATAAGTACATCAATATGTATCAGAAAATGTAATAAAAATTGGGGGTGATTTTGGAGTCATTTTTTGGAAAAAACCATGGGCTATAGTACAGGGAAATTTTCAGAAATTGGCCCATTTTTGAAAATGGCCGTAACTCAAAAATTTGAGCTTGGAATCGGCTCAAACTTTATACACAGCATAAGTACATCAATATGTATCAAAAATGTAATAAAAATTGAGAGTGATTTTGGGGCCATTTTTTGGAAAAAAAACCATGGGCTATAGCCTTGGGTATTTTTCAGAATTTTAGCATTTTCATAAAATGGTTATAACTTGAAAAATTGAAGTCAGAGTCAGCTCAAACTTTTTATAAAGCATAAAAACATCAATATGTATCAGAATTACATGTAGGAGTGATGTTGAAGAAATTTTAAAAATTAATTTATTTATGACCTTAGGTCCTCCATCAGTAGTTATTAATGAGGTCAATATTTCAATTAATAATAATAATTTATTAATTGACGCTTCAGTCACTGATAATGGATCTGCTCCTGCTTCTGGTCTTACGTTTAATATAACAAGTAACTATAGCAACAGTAACTATGGTAACACAGTCACATTTGCCTCGCCTATTGTTAATGCCACAAGATCACTTAATGGACTAATAGTGACACAATATGCTGAACTATTAGAATTACTTGGAGGTAGTGGTGATTATGAGCTATACTTGACCATAGGAGCTTTTAATGACATTGGAATTAACAATTATTTATATAATACAACTTTTACTGTACCAAGTAAGCAGTCACCACCATTCTGTACATGTACTTACTAATACTACCCTTCTCTCTCTCTTTCTCTCTCTCTCTCTCTCTCTCTCTTGTAGTTTTTTCATCTTCATCTTCATTTCCTTATTCTTCAATGGAGTTCACTAGTAGTATAACCAGTATTACCAGTATGACCAGTTCTACGAGTAGTACAGTTAGTCCTACCAGTACCAGTACAACTGGTCATACTAGTTTAACTACATCTATACATCGTGAGTTGTCAGCATTAAAATTGTTTTACGATTACTGTTGCTATTTTTAGCATCATCATCTCCAATACCTCCTCACTCTTCAAGTAGTATAGGTAATTGATTATTACTAGTAGATCACTATTATTAATTTAATTATTATTACTAGGAGGGATTATTGCAGCTGTTGTTATAGTACCACTAGTCTTGCTTGTGGCTGTGGCTGTTTTTGTTACTATATTAATCTGTATCTTAAGGAGAAGGTACTAATGATAGTGTCACATGATAGTCACATGATCTAATGTTATTGATAGGTCAAAGAGACTATCAGTGTCCAGTCGTGAGTATAACTATGAACAGATTGATGATGGGAGTTCTTATGAGTCATTCATGGCAGAGCCTGACAATGACTTTTAATGATTAACATAATTTTGTGTATCTTTTTCTTTTAAATTATTTTTGTAATTACAGTGCATTATTGTATTTTTATGTATTATAATTATTGCATTCAAAATTAATTTTAATTGCAGTAGAACCTCCTATTGTGAATACTCTAAAATAAGGACACCTCTATAATCAGGACAGTATTATTACGCATTTAAAACAGACAAGTTTTAACAGTGTTATTGTTATTATTATTATCATTATTAAAGATATTAAGTTAAAAGTGTACATTATTAAAGATATTATTATTATTATTATTATTATTATTATTATTATTATTATTATTATTATTATTATTATTATTATTATTATTATTATGTTATGTCATGGAGTGTACAATTGTCCTTTATTTGACGAATGAGGTGGGTGGAGCTGTTATTTTTCTGCTAATTTCGGCGCAATATTTGTCCGGAATGCCAGCCTCTTTGAGCTCAGAGAGCTTCCTCTGCTTCACTTCATCTAATCTGCGACGCCTTTTAGAAAAAAAAGAGAACAAAAATAAAAAAATTAATAAATAATCTTAATTACCTCTCCTTGGCTTCATTATCCAGTCTCATTCCTTCATTAAAGTATTCTTTTCTTTCTTTTCTTAATTCGTCTTCTTTGATTCGAATCTAGCACAACAACAATTTGAACAATAACAGCAAAAATAAATAAATTATAATTACTTGTTTTCTGACATCTGCTGCATGTTTTCTTCTCCTCTCTTCCATTTCTTGTTTCTGTCTCTCATCTTGTGACATCATTTCTTGCTGTCTCCTAAGAATGATAAGCAATCAAGCCATTATATTACCCTCATCCTTTTCTCTTTCATACTTTAAAACTCTTTCAAATTCAGTTCTTTCTCTTTGAGCCTGGACCGCCAGGAAATGCTCTTTATTACGAACCTGCTCTTCTCTAGCATCACAGAGATTTCTCTCTGTCTCAGCTCTGTAGTAAAAAAAATTAAAATAAATAAAACTGATACAATAATTTTGTGTTACTTTTTCTGTGCTTCTTCTTTCTCCTTTCTCCTCCATTCTCTCTCAAATTGCTCCTGATTCCTCTTTGCTCTCAAAGCATCCTAAAATAAAATAAATAAAATAAAACAATGATCTCTTTCTTGTTTGTGTTTACTCTTTCTGCTTGTTTGTCCTTTGCTTTCTCCTGCTGTGCCCTCAGTCTGGCCACTTCCAACTCCTTCTCTATCTTTTGCTTTTCCAATTCTTGAGCTAGCATCTCTTCCCTTGTCTATATCACAAACACAACAATAATAACAAAATAAAAATATTAACAATAAGAATTATTCAGGTCATATTATACTTGTTTATCCTTGAGGTATTCCATTATCTTGAGATCTTCCATTTTCTCTTGCTCTTTCATTCTGGACTTCAACATTTCAATCTCCTATATACCCAAACACATAATTAATGCACACACTCATAATGTTCTCTCAATGCTTACATGATTGCATTTGGTTACTTCCTCCATTAAGCTCTTCTGTGCTTCTTTCTTCTTCAGTAGATTCTCCCAATCTTCTTGCTGGAGTCTCTCCATGTACCTAATAATGGAGCATTTTAGTATTAATGTTTTGTATGTGATAATAATTGTATGCGTAACTTGTATTTTGTTATGATGATTCCATCATGTGAACTTACTTTAGCATTTGCTGTGTCTCTTGGTCTTTCCTTTCCTTGTCTAATGTTCTTTGAACTTCTCTCTCATCGATTTGCTGGTGTATCACCTATTATTAGTATTCAATATTATCATCAGCTATCATCATTAGTAACGCGGTAGCGTTACTAAGTAGGATTCTTATTATTAAAGTCTATTCAGTTTCACCTGACCTATTGATTTTTTGTTATAACTTTTGATAAACATGGAATTTAGAAATTTTGTTTGCACCATTAGAATCGCTAGGTTCTTCCCGTCCTTTAGATAAAAAGATCGGGTCAAAATGATAAGGCCTTAGCCTTTTTTGGATGTCCCTGTATAAACTCAATGACATACCTTTGACCGCAACTATGCAGCTAGAACAGCCAGATTAAATTCAGCTGCTACTTACCTGCATCCCTTCCGCGCAACAAAAACAATTCCAAAACCACAAATACGTAAAGAATGCGGATGTGACGTAGTTATTTATTAATTGAAAAAAGCCAGGGGTCAGGTGAAAGTGAATAGACTTTAGTATTCATTGTATTCAATATTATCACCAGCTATCATCATTATTTAATAATCCTTACTTTTGCTCCCTGCAGTCGCTGTATCTTCTTCTCTCTCTCTTTCTTTTCTTGTTCCTCAATTGCTCTCAATCTCTCGGCCTCCATTATATCATCAAGACGTCTCTAAAATAATAATAAATAATACAAAACCCGGCCTCCTCCATTATTACTTCTTCCTCTTTTACAGAGTCTTTTATTTCTTTCTTTTCTTCTAGCTGTGTGTCACGGATTGCATGACATTTTGCATTTAGTATTAATTCATTTAGTTTCTTTATTTCATCTTCTTGTTCATCCAGTAATTCTTTCGCTCTTGCAGTGATGTGGTTCTCATTCATGGCTGCCTCCTACAATGAGAAGAGAGAGAGAGAGAGAAAGAGAGAGAGGGAGGGGGAGAGAATAAAATATTTAAACTTGATCTCCTCTTACTTCTTCCAGGTCTGATGGTTTCTCATTCTTTCTTCTCTTCTCTTCAAGTTGCTGCATCAGTTTCTTCCTCGTATTTGATTCCTCCATTTTCTGCTCCTTCAGCATTTTGATGTCACTTTGCTTCGTTTTGATATCAGCAGTAGTTAACACTTGGGCCTTTGTCTAGTAAATAATAATAATAATAATAATAATAATAATTGTAATAGCTCTCCCTCTCTCCTTCTGTTTATTGTTTATACTTTGAGTCGTTTGTATTCTTTTTGGTGTAAAATTACTGACATTCCTGATGGATCTGGTGTTGATGGCACTCTTTAATAAATAGAATAAAATATAAAAATAAATAATAATTATTATTCTATTACTTTAAATTCCGTACAAGGTCTTTAGTAATAACTTCAATAACATCATCTTTCTTAGTCTTTCCTATGAACAGATGAAATAGTCAAGTCGTTATAAAACAGTGTTGCTGTTATTATTATTATTTTTTACTATTTCTTCCAGTTAGATCCTCTCCTCCATCAGTCCATGATCTGTTTCCAGTCATCATTGAGAGACGGGCAGGAGGTCCAAACAATGTCTCATCCTATTAACACAGCAGCATTAAAATGGCTGACAGTAGTTAATGTATTGTTACTCACTACTGATGAATCTGTAGCTTTCTTGATGTGTGATCGCTTGTTTCTTCCATTAGAGGAACCAAATGATACAGTACTAGTAGATACAGCCTAACAATAACCATTAAAGCAGAGGGAAATAAAGAAATATCAACTCACCATTCTAATCTAACACTAGTTGTTTGATACGTGGGGTTTCCATGGTAACAGAACACGCCCATATTCTCATAGCAACAAACCGCACCCACATCTAGCAACTGAGCCACACCTACTCTTATGGCGGTATGTTCAGATACAATGATACTTCAGGAGTTTTTGCTTACATCCTTTCACTGTTCATTACAATATACACTGACACTGTAACAGTGTATGTGGTGCTGGAGCACGGGGCAGAGGACGAAGGGTAAAAAATGATTTTTAAATATTATAATTATTTTCAGCTTTTTTTCAGCATGGGTAGGAAGATTGCCTGTTGGGTGTTCCATTTCTTTTGTTTGTTGACATTTATAGCTCACACAAGAGCATCGTTCACCAATCCCGGTAGGTTTGTGGGTGGGAGTCGTCTGCTTTTAACTGGGTATGGCTTATCCATAGGTTACGTTACTAAAAAGAATTTGAATATTGATTTTAAAGAGCACAGGGAGAAGGAGGAGGAGATGAGACGTCAGGAGAGAGATAAAAAGAAAAAGAGGAAGAAAAAGGAAAAGGTAAACCTGTTACATTATGTACACCAGGTCTTCCCTCGTAGTTCAAAGCACTTTATACATAGTACAGGGTATTTTGTCAAAAATGGCTCTAAGAGAATTATTTATTTTTATAATTTTTCCTGATACATATACATGTTTTATGTTGTTTTTCAAGTTTGAGCTGATTCCAATTAAATTTGGATTTTTTATGAATTTTTAAAGTTGCTCCAAAATCGAGCCAAAGTCCCTGTACTATAGTACAGGGCGTCAGTCAAATTTCACCAAAAATGACTAGGAGAGAATTCTTCATTTTTATAATTCTTCCTGATACATATGCATGTTCTCATGCTGTTTTTAAAGTTTGAGCTGATTCTGACTAAGTTTGGAATTTTTATGAATTTTTAAATTTACTCAAAAAGCCAAGCACGCATGCTTTTTAGCTCACTTGGTATGCTTTGTGAGAAACCCTGATGTACATGCACATGAAACATTGAATTTAAATTAAAATTAGCATGCAGGAGTTAAAATAAACTAATTTTAGTGTTTTATTTATAGGAGGAGAAGCCATTTGAGCTACAGCTAAGTGAATGGACCGTTTGTACTAAATGTGAGTCTTATCGTCCACCACGGGCCCACCACTGCAAGTAATCAATGATGCAATAATGATGTAATGTCCTGTTGCTATTTTTAGACACTGCAATCGCTGTGTTCGTAGAATGGATCACCATTGTCACTGGTAATTAACGAAGGAGGCGTAGCCCCTCTAGTTTTATTAATTGCTTTTCTTTATAATAATAGGATTAATAATTGTGTGGGCATACATAACTACAAATTTTTCTTTTTATTTGTCTGTTATTCTGGTAAGTATTATTATTTTTGTTATTTATTGTTAATATTGTTTGTTTAGAGGTATTAGTAATAGGAGCTGGTCTGTCATTAATATGGGACTGGAGACGACACAAGGAAGTACCTGATGATACCTTAGACAGGTGAAAGAGGAGGGGGAGGGAGAGAAAAAGAGAAGAGAATTTATTAGGAGATATATGCATTATTTATTTTATCTTTTTAGAGTATTAACATTTGGTTTGTTCATCATTGATGCTTTATTTACTTTCTTTGTTAACGGAATGCTAATATCACAAGTAAAAATAATAATAGAATGTACATGTATACTCTTCCATTAGATACTAGCAGTATTGTGCAATAGAACATTTGTTGAAGTGAAGAGATACGGTCGTCCTGTCGGTAAACCAAAGGAATCTAAAATGAGTTTAATTACAGCAGTGTGTGGGCGTGGTTAGTTATTAATGGTTTTTATTAATTAATTATTATTTTAATTACAGGTCCAATGTGGCTTTGGTGCCTACCTTTTACTAAAGCAAGAATACCCGATCCTGTCCCTCCCTCTGATATTGCTCTTAATCAATTTGTTGTTTAATTTTGAGTTATAATTTTAATTTTAATTTTTAAAATTTTAATAATGACTGGGTCGGGCACGCCCACTATGCAGAGCAAAATGCTGCTTTTGCATCGGATATGCTTCTTGCAACTTTTCCAATTTATTTATAGTGCAGGTAAGAAGTAATTAAAAGAGTCCACTTCTTATTCCTTACAGAAATAATGGTTCAGCCCAAATCTATCAATACAACCCTCAATTCAACTATTGTTTTCTCTTGTGAAGGAACTGGTGATGTTCTCGGTGTCTTTGTTAATAATGAGCCAGCTACTGATTATGCTGCTATGGCTAAAGGATTCAGTGTAACAACAAGTAATAATGGTGGTACTATAAGAGCAGAGCTACAAGCAATAGCTTATGAACATAATAATAATACTGAAATAAATTGTACAGCTATTACTCTCAGTCCTCTTCAGACAGAGACCAGTGATACAGCAATATTAATGATACAAGGTTAGTGTGTGTCTGTACATTGTCTGTATATGCTATGTATGTACATGGGAATAGCACCTGTTCAGGTAGCTTCAAGCAGCTTTAAGATACTAGGTATAGCAATGGTGACTGGTGAGGTGTGGGCCAAGTACTTGTACATAGTGAATTGTCGTTGTGTTGTTTACAACTAAAAGATAATAACATTT